GAGTCCTTGGTGCTTTGCGTAAGTTTTTAGTGATTTTTGGAAGCTAGATTTTTTTTCCTTCAAGTATCAAGGATTTTGTCCACCAAGGCTTTGTGGCCGCAGTTTTCAGATTTGAAAAAAGCAATAGTGGCTCAATGATTTTCTTACAGTTTTGTGGGAACTGTAGTTTTAATGAGATTGAGTTTTTTTATGGGGAGGAGAGGACTATGGATCATTGATGTGATTTACTGTTCCAGGCCTCTGATGTATTAATCTTAATATATATTTTTTACTAATTTTTTCTATACAAAGCAATTGGAGACCTTTTTATAACTCCTTTGGTATCGCTTGACCTTATAGATTGTATTTACTTCCATCATTGAAATTGTTTCTTATTTAAACATAAAAGAAAAAGGAAAAAAAAAAACCCACATCCAAAAGGATTTCTATTCCATAGTCTATAGTCATTTTAATTCTGTTTTATCTTTTAGTGACACTAAGGACTTCTAACATGACTATGATCGGCCATTAAATAGAACTCCTTAAAAATTGAAAAGGAAGCTAAATTAGAATAGCTGAAAATTTTGTACAACTTGTTTCGTTCTGTTGTGGCTATGTATTTTAATCAATTATCCACATTTCAAATTTCCCTTGAAGGACGAAGATACAGTTTTCAATTGCTGGAGAAATATTCCATTGTACTGGGGTGCATGTTATGGCAAAAGGATTCACCTCCATTATGCCATGGTTGGCAGTAAATGAAAAGAAACTACCTCAGTTTCTGAAGGGAGAGAAAATAGAAGTTGCAAGGGTGGATCTTTATCAGGTATTACTTATAGCTTCTGAAAACATTACTAATTGTTAACAGTTTCTGTGCATTTGATGTTATTTCTGTATAAGATCTTGAAATTCTGCTTCTCTCTGCCATTCATTTCTATTAGTTACTAAATTACGGGTCTAATAAACCATTTCTGCAAAAATGGGGACATGGGTTATGCCCTTGGTTTTATAACGAGAAGTACAATTAGAGATGGATGGAAAACCACCTGTTAGCCACCACTATTATTGAGAGAATTCTGAATGTCTTTGCAAATGACTTAGTGTATAATGGTGGAATAATGATTGGTACTTTTTGTTCCTGTTAAACATCAATTTTCTTTTCTTTTATAACTACAGCCTCCCATGATTATTAATGGTTGGAATGTGGTTCTTTGGGCAGGGTTTCTCTAGCCCCAGCCCATAGGCTCCGCTTGTCTTTTCTATCCTTTTATCTCTAATAATATATTTTCTGTTCATTTCTTATAATAAAAGTGAACATCAATTTTCAGTAAAGATGGATGATCTGTACCTTTCTGTCCTGTTAAACATCAATTTTCTGTAACCATGCTTTCCAGTTGTACTTACACGCATTGTATAGATTTTCTTTTCTTTTCTTTTTCTTTTTTTGATTATTTTGGACTCCATATGTGTTTCGGTCATAGACTAATGCTACATTTTGTATCTGCATACTCATTAAAATTCTCAGGGTAACACCACGCCTCCCGATTATTTAAGTGAAAGTGAGTTGATTTCTCTCATGGAGAAGCATGGAATAGGCACAGATGCATCAATACCTGTACACATTAACAACATAGGCGAACGCAACTATGTGCAGGTTTGTAATGTCCTGGAGTGCTACTGCTGATGTGATAGTCCAGCATGAAATATTAGCACATTTTACCTTGGTTATTTTGCTGCATTGTTAAATTTCAGGTTCAAGCTGGAAGGAGGTTGGTTCCAACTGCCCTAGGTATCACTTTAATCAGAGGTTATCAATGTATTGACCCAGATCTCGGCCTACCAGATATTCGAAGTTTCATTGAGCAACAGATCACTCTTGTTGCCAAGGGTCAAGTAGATCATTTTAGTGTTGTGCAGAATGCACTGCAACAGTTCAAGCAAAAGTACAGCTACTTCGTTAAGAAGGTTATTTCTACTGTGCATCCTTACTAATGGGTACACTTTTTTTAAATAAGAAATTATTTAATTTATTGTATGAAGTTATGAAAGAGGGAGAAAATAGCCTTATTGGAGTTACATGTTCTTCAATTTGACAAAAAGTGTAGAAAAACTATAATGATGAAGGCAAGGTGATAACTTACACCAGGAGATTACTCAAAGAACTATAGATTCCAAAAAACTATTAAAGAATTTCTCTTTGTCGCTGAAGATCCAAGGACCAAGATCCTTCGATTCCTTTGATCCTTGTGTGACTAAAAGATAAATGCTCTAGTGAAGGTCATCCGAAGAAGCATTTTCTCCTTTATAAAGGTTACTTCATATGTTATGACAGAAGCATAACAGGCTTTCCGTTCTTTTGTCTTTTTTTTTTTAAATAAAAGTCGTGTTTGTTTATTACTTAAATCTCAAGGACCTTTACTTGCTTGCTTGCTCCTATTCACGGTTCCTTAATTTTGTTTCTAATTAGCTATGTACAAAATCATTGCAAAAGTCTTAGTAAAAAGGCTAAAGCAGAATGTTTTACATTGAGAATCTGACCTTTTAACTTCAGAATTGTTACAATCAAACTTGTAAAACGCTTCATAACTTGTTCAGATTGATCACATGGATGCTCTGTTTGAAGCACAATTTTCTCCTCTTGCTGATTCTGGACGCTCTTTTAGCAAATGTGGCAAATGCCTGCGGTATATGAAGTTTATTTCTTCCCAACCACAGCGCATGTACTGTAATACATGTGAGGAGGTTTATTATCTTCCGCAGAAGGGAACAATAAAGGTAAATATATCACAAATTATTGCTACTATTTTCCACTGGTAAAGATTCTCCAGCTTTCTGGTTTCATGCCCTATATATAGTTTGTGCAGATATTATACTATTGTACCTTCATTTTCGCAAAGCATATGGTAACTGCTGCACCGTCTTACTTACCTTGATTAATAATAGTATTTCATCTATATTGCTCCTTTTATATGCAGTTTATGTAATATAAGCATTTTTTATGTCTGTTACATATCTTCCACTTCATTTTGTTCTATTTATTTTGTGTGATGGCACTATGAGAAACATTCAATTTCCCTAATTAGTAGGTATGTGACTAAATTTCTTGTCAATTGCTTCTAAAAGTTCATTTCATTTTTTTCCTGAGTCCAACAAGTTTGGAAAATTTGAAACTTCAAAACCTCATTACTTGATCAATCAATTGAGCTATACTCATGTCATTCATTGCATGCATTATTGCCTTGAATATTTTGTGAAACTGAGGTTGATGACTCGTGGCATGAATCCTTTTAAGATTGCGTGCTTGATTCTGATTATCATACTGAATTTTACTCTCTATGTACATTGTTTTTTTTTTCAGCTGTATAAGGAACTTACATGTCCTTTGGATAACTTCGAACTTTTGATTTTTTCCTTACCTGGCCCAGAAGGCAAGTCATTTCCTCTTTGCCCATACTGCTACAATAGTCCTCCATTTGAGGGTATCGATGCATTATATGGTGCTGCTAAAACCACCCAAAGTTCTGGAAAATCGACCAAGGGAATTGGTATGCCATGCTTCCTCTGCCCACACCCAACATGTCGACATTCTTTAATAACCCAAGGAGTCTGTGCTTGCCCGGAATGTAGCGGGACGCTTGTCCTAGATCCAGTGAGTGCACCCAACTGGAGACTCAACTGCAACAAGTGCAATTTCCTTGTCTTCCTTCCTCAGGGTGCTCATAGGATCTCTACCACTAACGACAAGTGTGACGAATGCGACTCGAAAATTATAGAAGTCGACTTCAACAAGAAAACTACACCATTGGAGGACGGAGCTACACTGTTTGTTGGCTGCATTCTTTGTGATGAGTTTCTCCATTCACTTTTGGAGATGAAGCATGGAAAATCATTCTTCAGAGGCAGAGGTTCCAGAGGAAGAAGTAGAGGAAGGGGAAGGGGAAGGGGAGGAAGAGGACGCGGTGCAGGGAGATCGATGGACCCAAAAATGAGTTTCCGAGATTTCTGAAGAAAGACAGACCATCTTTCAGAATTTTTGGAGAATGATACGTAGTTTTGGTAGAGAACACCAAGATATAGAACTTGAATTCTATTTATAAATTTTTGGTTTAAATTTCTTCTTTTTCGTTCATCGAGATAATTCCAAGGGCACCTATACCTTTTTTCTTGTACATAATTTACCTTTAGCTTAGAAGGTGTTAATTCCTGTTTCTTTGGTTGGAATTCTCTGCTGATTATAAATCATAAAAACTCATAACATCTTTTTTTTCCTTGTATGGTCAAGATTTTGAACCCATTAGGATGCTCTTTGCCACTTTGATTGTATCTTTTTCAAAGATGATTGATTTGTTCTTTAACTTATGGAGTCTCAAGGATTGATACTTGCATTCAAATTACTCAATGTGCCACTAAATCTAGTGAGCTTGTGGTTTCAGATATTTTTTAATAGATCTACTCATTTCTATAAAAATTCATGAAAAGTCACAATGAAATGATCATGATTAGTTGTAAATTAGCATTTGTCAATAGTACAAATTTAGAGTCAAATTTGGATATTGCGAAAATGTCTCATATTGTCTAAACGTGCACAACAGATATCAAAAAGGGTAAAAAGAATAAAATGGAGAAGTACCAAATTCAAACCGGAACTTCTTAAAGAAAAATATAAGAAGTTTGCTTACACGTTCTTCGATTGTTGGAACAATTCTTTTATTCCATATTTTAAAAAAGTTTTTCTAAATTTGATCCAATTGAATGGAAGTTCTCAATGATCTAATTGATGTTGGTTCAATACTCACTTCATTATCAAAGATCAATCCCCTTTTCATGTTTGGACCAATCGTGGATTTGTAATCTATTAATGGTAAGGATTAAAATTGTTACATTTAAAAAGTTTTGAATCAAGATAAATGGAATCAAAAGCTCAAAAAATAATATGGAGAACACTTTTGTAATGACTTTATTTTCCACGTTCCATTTTTATAATTTATGCTTATTTACAGACCATTTTTTTTGTAATTTCATTTTTCATAATCAAGTACTCTTTTCGACATTTTAAGTGTCTCAGACAATTAAAATAAGAACATTTTACATTTTGTAGCAAAAATTCAGAACTCCCTCCTAATTTCTCAAGTGTTTGCAATTTGTATGACAATATGACAACCTACTGAACACATCATCACAACATGAAATAAGCAGAAAAACCTAATTTTCATTGATAGATTAGCATAATAATGTCTTAGCCTGAAGATTGAAGAGGCGGTGGAATGTGATTAGGAGGCGGCGGAGGCATTGATGACATTTGCATAGGGGGCCTCCCGGGCTGCTGCTGCATCTGCATCGGCGGTGGTGGTGGTCGCCAGAGCGGTGGTTGTGCTCCTCCCATTCCCATCGGTGGAGGGATCTGCATTGAATGAGCGGGAGCCTGAGGCGGCGGTGGAGGCATATTTGGAGGAGGTGGCCGGAACTGCTGAACTGGTGGTGGAATCATGGAACCTGGCATCATTTGACCTGGTTGCTGCGGCTGGCCCTGCCAGGCTGGTTGTCCAGGCATCTGCATAGGGGGGAAAGCCACCCCTTGTGGTGGCGGAGGACGTATTGCAGGAATCGGGCTGGGAGCAATGGTGCCATTGGCAAAGGGGCGTGGTGGCACCGGAGCTCCGATCACACCGTTCGGCTGGGCAACCTTTGGAAGTGTCGGAGGGCCACTTGCGAACAAAGTGTGAGGCCTACTCTTCTGGGGATTGCTAGCAGCCAGGACTCTCTCTACCAAATAGAAAAAGGCCATACCGAAGGATTAAAACAACGATTATGTTCTCCTTCAAATAGTCTGAACTGTGTCTATAACATAAAAACAATGCCATAAGTTTTACACATAATCAAACAATTTCTTACCTGCAGGCGTTCCGTGCCGCTCTCCCTTGGTATCTTTCTTATAGGCATACGAAACCGTTATTTGCCGATTACAAAGATATTGGCCATTCATAGCCTGTGAAAATAGCAAAAAATTGTCTCAAGATTAGTTTTCTTTATTCTTCTTCGAGGGATGTCTCATGATGTATTTAGAACAAATTAATATAGTGCAAGTTGTTATATGGACAAATCATTTTAGAACTCAAGGACAAAGTAGTACAACCAGATCGTTGGTGGACAAATCATTTTAAAATCTTGCTGCCAATAAGAATCTCATATATATATATATATATATATATATTATTATTATTATTTTTTTTTTTGATATCCGTGTGTCCAGGCCAGCTCGCGCGCACCTCGACTATTCACGGACCAACCGCCTGACCCTACTACATTTGATTGACAAGGAAACTCGTAGGATATTAAATCCTAGGTAGGTGGCCACCATGGTTTGAACTCATTCCCTCTAAGTCCTTTGCTATTTACATTGACCCCCATTGACCACTTGAGTCATCCCATGATGGTTCTCGTATATAATATATCAAAACAGGATGATGCATCTATTGCTGGATTGGAATGACTGCCAATAAGCAAAGAAAAGACGCACCTCAATCGCTGCATCAGATGCCTCAAAAGAGTCGTAGCTAATAAAACCAAACCCACGTGAATTTCCTGTATCTGGATCCCTCATGATCTGGTAATACAAAAGGAAGATAATCCAAGTGTCAGAACACAATTTAACATAAACCTCTCGACTTTCATGTTAAAACACGTCCCCCAAAAGAGGACCGAGTACAAGCCAGACATGAAAGAACCGAAGACGAAAAATAGGGCATACAACAAAGAAGTGATCATTGTTGCTCTCTGAGCATGAAAGGAAATTGATTTTATACACTAGAGTTTGGTAGTAAAAAAATCTAAGCCTCCCAACAGCCATTATGTTATAAACCCTTAAAGCCCGAACAATTTCCCAATCCAGCATACCCAACTACTAAGCACTTCAAGAGAATAAGAGGAAACATGAAGCCAGGTCATATAACAAGTCCCATTTCCACAAAGAACATGATGCTAACCCATGCGGACGAAAAATCAGTTCACAACTCTTAAAATTATAAAAATTGTATGTAATGACAAGAAAAGAAAAATAGAAAATAATGGGAGAGAACAATTAGAAATAATTATTTCATTAGAAAAGAAAGTTATGAAAGACAAAAGAAACCATATACTGGCTGTTACCAATCACAATTATGTTTGAAACAGAAGCGACTTGTCAATGCAGTTCAACAACTAAAGAGTCAAAACACACGAGAGAGAAGGGTAAAAGAAAATAAACAAAAAAACAAAAAATTACAGTGATCCTATATAATAATAGAGCTAAAAGGGCATTCTACTGAAACACCCTTCAAGTAGGATGCCAAAAAGTGCACACTGTAATTCTTCAGCTTTTTTTTTTTTTTTGGCCAAGAAATTAAAGAACGAATGTCTTGGGCGTACTACAAAAGATATAGTTGTTCAATCATCCAGAAAAGCAACTAAAAAAATATGTAGGAAAACAAAGATAAATGGTGAACCAGGTCCATAAAAAGCAAACAAAAAAAAGTTAAAAGCAGTCACTTTAACCAGATATTCCATAATAAATAATACTAATGAAGCAATTATAAATTCAACTGTAGATGATATATGTGGAGTAGCCATGAATCAAATCCTAGAAACTTTAAGTTCAGAAATGCATAAATGTATAGTTTACTCGGCTAAAGATTTCTAAAGATCTTGGCTGCCCTGCTTCACTATCTTGAACTCCCTAAACCTTTTATTGGACAACAGAAATTCAAGGATCAAATTTATAATGCAGAGCAACCTTCTGACCAAACAGCCTGTAGTTTATAGGAATGCATTTTCATGATCCCACTTAATAATCATTAAGCAAGTCACAAAGATATCAATTAATAAACCTCCTTTAGGACTACCAGCCCCGTGACAGAAATACAGGATAGAGTAAAATACACCAGAAGGCAATGTGATGGTTAATAGTTTTTTTGATAAGAAACTTATCAAAAAACATAAATGCATGATGGTTAATAGTTGGCTCGAAAATTATCTTGAATCTTCCAAGAAAAACATAAATGCGTGATGGGGTTCAGAGGAAAAGTTATAACCTTAGGATTCGTCACAATGACCCCAAATGCACTGAAAGTATCATATAGGAGCTTCTCATCAACATCCTGAAACAAACACCAAAGTTTAGTTACAATAGTCAAATCTAATATCGCAAGTTCACCAGTTACAACCATAACAATATAACTACTCACTGGGTCTAGGTTTCCTATGAAGAGATTCGCCCCCACATCCAAACTCTTCTTGTCTTGAGACGCCTGGAAATATGCAATTCACTCATAATAGAAGTTAAATATCCATCTTCTAAAATATCAAAACGCATCATATCACAGTTGAAAGAATAAATTTACTACTTACCTTGTTTACACGAATCGGCTTCCCATAGAGCTTAATCATATTTAGCACCTTGATCGCCTGCAAAAACATTGAGAATTGAAAATCATAGTAACATCCCATAGCAAATAAGTGAGAGGATTAAAAAGGCAAAAAGTGTAAAGCATCACTCACATAATCCGCGTCTTCCTCGCTGCGAAACTCAATGAACCCATACCCTTGATGCAAGTTAGTCACTCTATCTTTCGGAACGTACACGTTAACTGCAAAATAAGAAGTGGGTAAAACTTTTTTTCATGAAATTCTCCAACCCAGAAGAGAAAAGACAGCTTAAATAGAGTTCTGATAAATTCCTAGTATAATATATAGAGAACGCACCAACTGGGCCGGCTTGAACAAACAGCTCCCAAAGCAACTCCTCAGAAACCTGAGAGAATCAGAAAAAGGGTATGATGAGAATGAAATCAGAAGAAGATGGAAACCCTAGAAGAGGGGTTTTGGATACGAATTAGTTGATGAAGAGCAGAGAGAAAGAGAAAGAAGACCTGGGGATCTAGATTGCCGACATAGGCAGTGGCGTCTTGGTTGCGCTCGGGGGCGTGCTGGCCGAGTAGATTAGCTCCGACTCCCGGCGCTATCTTCGTCGTCATCTTCTCCGGCTCCTTCGCTGTAGCAGTTACCTGCGTTTGCGCCTTTGGGTTCACAAAACTGCTCTGTGGGGGGTTTTTCTTCCTTATGTTATTTGCTAAACCATCTTTCTAGGCTACATGCCTGTCAGATATTAATATGGAGCGGAGTCTCGACCCGACATAACTCAATTTGTCCACGTGAAAATATCTCAACTTATTTATATTTGGTTCGAATTCTTATTTCAAAGATATATTAATTTGTCAACTCGAATATAGTTCAACTCATTTATGTTTCGAATGAAAAGTTTGAATTCTTACTTCAATATATATTAACCTGAGCCTAACTCAACTTACTTATATTCATAAAAAATGTTCGAATTCTTATTTCAAGATGTATTAACCTGTCAACTCGGGAATAACTTAACTTACTTATCTTCAAAATAAAAGTTTGAATTCTTCCTTCAATACATATTAACCTGTCAACCCGAGTATAACGCAATCTATTTATATCCAAAATGAAAGTTTGAATTCTTTTTCCTGCCTATTAATTGAGTTAAAAAGAGTAAAAAAATAAATTTTCTTCTTTTCTTTTCCTTAATACAGTCAATTTTAATATTTAAATTTAAATGATTTGTAAAATAAATGTTAAAGATAATATTTTAATTTTTATATTTTTAGTTTGGTTTATTTTGGTCGGTGTATGTTTAAAATGTTGATTTTAGTACATCTACTTTAAACTTTAATTCATTTTAGTTATTGTATTCTCATAATCTTGTTTTAGTCTTTATACTTTAAGTAACTATTTTGGTTTCTATTTTTAAAATTTTAATACAAATTCTACACATAAAATAAATATTTTAATATAAAGTCATGATTATATTTTAAAAGATGTATTTGAGTTTAATGTCTTATTGTAATTGTGATAGACAAAAATGATATTAAAAAATAAAATTAAAAAACCAAAAGGGTCACTTTTTAAAATAGATGGACCAAAAACGAATATTTTTAAAAGTATACGGATTAAAATGAATCATTTTAAAAGTACATTGACTAAAAAATAAATTAGAATTGAAAATATCGACTAGTATTTTAACCTAAAATATAAAATTGTAGCATTTTATCAATACTCTTTCCTAAGAGTCCATCAGTTCGAATCCCCCTTCATCCTCAATGAACTAAATATATATATAAACAATATCCAACTTAACCAAAAGAATTATTGGTCAAATTATAGTAATCTCATTGAGAATATTAATTTAATTGCTCTTATTTTAACCAACATGAGCTTAGCTTAGTAGTAATTTACACTAATTTCTGACCAATATGTCGAGTTCAAATCTCCTACTTATTGTACTAAAAAAAGTGCTCTTATTTTCTTCCTCGACCCCTTTCGATGTGAGTTTTATGCTTTTTTTAATCATGATATTTGCCCTTTCCATGAAGGCACGCTTGACACTATCACATTCTTTAAAAATAATGTCAAAATTTGCTTATTAAATTACTTTTTACTAAAATTATTTCACTCTAGAACTTTATTAATTTTGTCACACTTTCAAAAAACGAGCTTTAAATAGTCGTTAGAATCAAGATAAGAATTAAGTCAAGAGAGTTATCGAAAACGATTAAGTGATAGGTCTAATAAACAAATGGGAGACAAACAAGAGGATGGAGTAAGAATTTCAAATGCAAACAAAAGTTGAAGCACATAGAGATGAAATATTCACTTGTAAAGGAGCACAAATGATCAAATAGACCTCATCCATACTTGTAGTTATAGTGCAAATTAGATGAATTTAAAGGTGGTATATTATCTTTTAATATCTCATGTCTCTTTGATTCCTCGATTATAATAGATTTGATTATATATTTTACGTCACGTGTCTTGTGATTAAATAGGGGTACTCATGTGTAATTTATTGCAATTTACAAAGATGGTAGTATTCACGTCCGATTCCACGACACCTTAGTGAAACTTCTCAATTTGTCTACAATGAAATGTTTGAAAAACATTCCTCAACATTCTCAAAAACATTCCTCAACATTCTCAAACACGACTTCAACGTAGTTGACATAGAAACCAACACCTTCAACTTAAAAATATTGATTAGCTCAATCACATAAAACATCTAAATCCTTAAACCCCTCATCCATGAAAGATACATTATGCTCGTCCCCACAACTTAAGTCACATCACGTGTGTTTTCCTACTTGTCCATGCTAACCTATGCTCAAAATAAATTCTATTTGGGGGAAATCTCCTTGAACAAATTGATCCATGTTGGATCTCGATATCCAAGATCAAATTGATATCCATGAGTGAATCTCAAAAGTGACTTCAAATAATCTAACGATACCTCTTAAGGTGATAACAATCACCATTAACCTATCAATATCACTTCTCTACTCGTCAAATACAAAATATTCTGCTACCAAATCCTGATGTTGTTATTATTGGGTTATCACTCTAACACCAACTTTAAATGATAAAGTAGCTTCAGTTATGTCTAACTAATGTACATTTTCAAATTGTCTGATGGTTTAGTAATACATATCAAATAATGTGGCAACCACCGCCATTTGCCTATAAATATCAGTTCTCTACTAGTCAAATATTATAAAACACTTCAATATCAAAATCTTCATCATTGTTCTTCTTAGTTTATCACTCAACACCGACTTTAATAATCGTAACTTTAGTCATTATCAATGTAAATTAGTTGAGGTACTAACTCTCAGAAAGAATCAGTCATTTTGTAAGAATGGTCTTAGGGGGAAAATTTGAAAATTAATTTAATTTTGATTATTTTTAAATTATAAACATACAAATATCAATAAATATATCAAATTTGTGTATACACATTATATGGAAAAAAAATTATTTATATTTATATTATTTTAAAATTTTATTTTTTTTCTCAATACTTATGTTTTTATTTATAATTTGGTAGAAAATATTAATAAATAAATACCAACTAATTAAAAATTTGGAATAGGGTTAAGTCAATGAATGTATTTCTCTTATCGAAATTTGTTGTGGGGAACTCTATTTGCCCTCAATCCTTCCTAAATACGGATTTTTTGCCCCATTTAGAATGAGGTTTCACGAAGATTCATTGATAGGAAATCTTGTCATCCTTAATCTTATTTACCTGATCATTTGCTAGACTTATTTTTAAGCCTTCTAATATAAGAACGACAACGAAACAAGATATAATGAGAGATACACTTTCTATGGTTTAAAGAGATGACTCTCCATCTCTAACATAAATTTTTATCTTAATTGATATCTCATTCTCCGATCGTTTCAACTTTCCCCTTTAGAAATTGAGGAATGGACTGAGAATCTCCGTTCATTAAATTTTCACTAAAAAAATAGAAGTTAACATCCCACAATTATTCTTAATTGTCTTTTAAAGATAAAATTAGAACCATAGTATTTGGCATTGCCTTTGCTTAATAAAGAAGAGAGCCTTTTTGTAGACGATCCAATCCATGGAAAATAGCTGCGAAGCAAAACAGGCGCCAAGGAACGTGGGTATGCAACTGGCCTCTATTATCGCCACTTGGGTTCTCCCAAAATCCACAAAATTTTCTCCTTTTTTTCTTTCCCAGTAGAATTCTTTCGCCCGCCATCCACGCCCCTTCCGCCATTTCTTAATTTCTTCCCCGTTTCCCTCTCCTTTCCCCTGCACAGATCTCGGTCTTCTGTCTTTCCTCCTTCCAGAATTCGCTCTCTCGTGCAGATCTTGCATTGGCTCTCTCTGGATTCGTTTCTGTTTCTGGGGCGGCTCTTTTGATTTTTTACTGGACCCCCATCTGGCCCGATTGCCGTGATACCCACTTAAGGATCCTCACTCGTCGGTGAGTTTGAGAATTTGGTATTGTTATTAGACGCTTTCTGAGTTCATCATGTTCTTAATTTGGATCATTTGGCTTTGATGTCACCTCTGATCATGGCTTCTTGTCTACGTAGTTTGCAGATCTTCTGTGGGTGGTGCTTTGTTTTTCTTAATTTTGCGAACTGGGATGGTAGTTGTTAGTGAATCAAGGAACCTTTCTTTCTTAATCCGATTATATTGAACCTTTTTTTTAATCAAATGAGCATATAATTATGGTAGTTAGGGTCACCAGAGATGCTGTCTATGCTAGAAAAATAAAATAAAATAAAACAAATTTATAAACTAGAGATACAGAAATTTCTCTCTCTGTTTTCTGTAGTTTTTCCCATCTAACCTCACTCTGGTTCACATTTTCTCATTCCGTTCTGTTGAAATTTAGACATTTTTTAACATTTTGTCATCATTTCCATGACATCCTAAAGATAAAATAATAATTCCCTGTATTGATGTCAACCACTGATGGAAATGGAAGACATGTCGGTGGATATTTTACTTCCTGCTTTACAGAAATGCTATTATCTTAGCTTCATCTTTAACTTTGAGATAGCTATTAAAATTTTCAATTATATTATGTGAACTTGCAAGATGCGAAACTGAACTTTGGTTTCCTCTTTTCTGCCTGGGTTTGAGTTTATACATAATTGTTATCATAGTTCAGAATACCTTTTCTTCTTTCTATGAAATTCCGCAATTTGTTGGGAGTTGATGTTTGATTAATTGTCAGGATAATCTCATGTCCTGACCATTTTATTTCTTCTGATTTATTTGGTGTTTCATGTAAGCAGGGTCAGGGTTTCAAAAGCTTGATTAAGAACAGGGGGTGACCATTTGGTGTTTCATTAGCCATATTCAATTTGAAGATATGCAGAAGCCTCAAGATCAACGGTCAAGGTCTAGCAAACCCAGCACCATTCATAGCTATGCTCAGTATGGGGACGTTCTTGGCCTTCAAAAGCTGCTCCGGGAAAATCCCAGTCTTCTTAACGATAGAAATCCTTTTGTATGGTCTCTTTCTTGATGAACTTTTTGGTATTTTTGTTAAGTTTTTGTTATCATTTTAATTTTTAAGTTTTTATATTTGTTCAGTGGGAAGTGACTTTCTTTTGTGAGTATGAATTGATTTGGTGATGTGTATGAGATAAGGACTTCTTTGCGGTTTCTGACTCCATATGCTTTTCTTATTGGCTATGTATGGAAATTTTGGTGGTTGATTTAATTTTATTGTTAGAGATGAACTGGTCAAGCATATTGCTTTTAGCACCATGTATAACTTTTATTTGTCCATAATTTCCCATATTTTCCATCTGGGATGTCTTCAGGTGTGTTTGGAGCTTATTTACTCTATTTTTATTTTTTGATCTATCCCATGTTAACCATCCAGTTATATCCCTACTCCCTTTGAAATATGAATTCTGATAATACTTGCTGGTGTAAGACTAGAATATCAGTTTTCATTTCGAATACGTTTTCCTCATTTCATACGTGTCTCAGTAATACAATTAAGAAAATTGCCCACAGGTACCCGATTGGCAAAGGCTTGAGGTCTCTTTGTTAGGAGTAGAGGTCTCAAGTTCGAACCTTCAGCTTAATACCAAAAACTCTTGATGTCTTTCCGCAGGTGTCCTTGGGTACAGGGGAGCAAAGCTCCGACTCCCAGTTATTAAAAATAAAAAAATAATAAAAATTAAGAAAATTGTACAAGATCTTTTTGGTATTAATTCCAATGTTGTTGCTTGCTCAATAATTATGTATGATTCAAGATATATGCCGATTTATGTTGTTATTTTTGTTACATTTGGAGTGAAACTCATGGATTTCAATGCTTCCTTCAGATGGGACAGACACCACTTCATGTTTCTGCAGGCTATAACCGGGCTGAGATAGTTAAATTTCTTCTTGCCTGGCAAGGTCCAGAAAAGGTTGAGTTGGAAGCCAAAAACATGGTAAGCATATATTATTCTTTGTTGGCGGTTGCGTTTTGCGTGAAATCAAACCTATTACTGGTTAGAGCTAATATTCTCAACTCTCTGCAGTATGGGGAGACTCCCTTGCACATGGCAGCAAAAAATGGGTGCAATGATGCAGCACGGGTGCTACTCGCTCATGGCGCTTTTCTTGAAGCCAAAGCCAATGTGCTCTATTTTTCTTTTAGTAATCTATATTTGGTTGATTTTGAAATGAAATACATGATTCATTGTTATCTTTTGGTTGAAGTCTATGCTTTTGTGTATTTGTTTATGCAGAATGGGATGACACCATTACACCTCGCTGTTTGGTATTCGCTCCAAGCTGAAAACTGTGACACTGTCAAGACATTGCTTGAATATAATGCCGATTGTAGTGCGATGGATGATGTAATCCTTTTATAATTTTCTTGCAAGATTTAGTGTTCTCCATCCAGTAACTTATAAATTGGTACTAAGTTGGCATGTAACTTAAATGCAGGAGGGTATGACTCCGCTAAACCATCTGTCCCAAGGCCCATGTAGTGAAAAGTTGAGGGAATTGTTGAACCAGCATTTAGAAGAGCAGAGAAAGCGAAAAGCAATCGAGGCATGCAGTGAAACTAAAGCGAAAATGAAAGAACTCGAAAATGAGCTCTCACATATCGTGGGTCTGCATGAGCTCAAGATTCAACTTCAGAAATGGGCTAAGGGAATGCTTTTAGATGAGAGACGCAGGGCCTTAGGCCTCAAAGTTGGCGCCAGGAGGCCCCCTCATATGGCATTTCTTGGAAATCCTGGAACAGGTAATTAATTATAGGAGTCCAGAGTTTCTCATAGCTTTTGACTAATTCTAAAAGTACTTATCAATCACTTCCAAACGTGAGGATTTTGAGCTGAAGTACTTTTTTCCAAAAACATTCCCAAAACTAATTGTTGTTATTATTTTTGAAAGGTAAGACTATGATAGCTCGAATACTTGGAAAATTGCTTCACATGGTTGGCATCCTGCCGACCGATAAGGTAACAGAAGTACAGAGAACAGATTTGGTTGGCGAATTTGTTGGTCATACTGGTCCGAAAACCCGAAGGAAGGTTCGTCACCGCGGCTTGTAGCCTCTCATTTAAGTTATTTGGATTGTTTCTTTACGGATGGATGCCATTTCTCTGACTTGCAGATCAAAGAAGCAGAGGGCGGAATTCTTTTCGTTGATGAAGCCTATCGACTGATCCCAATGCAGAAAGCAGACGATAAGGATTATGGTTTGGAAGCACTGGAAGAGATCATGTCTGTCATGGACAGTGGGAAAATTATAGTCATATTTGCTGGTTACAGGGAACCGATGAAGCGTGTAATAGCTTCAAACGAAGGATTTCAGCGACGGGTAACCAAATTTTTTCATTTCAACGATTTTAGTCCGGAAGAGTTGGCAAAGATTCTCCATATCAAGATGGACAACCAAACAGAGGAAAGCTTGTTATATGGCTTTAAGTTGCATCCTTCTTGCACCACGGAAGCCATTTCAGAGCTGATAGAGAGAGAAACTCAAGAAAAGCGCCGTAAGGAGATGAACGGCGGTTTAGTCGATCCAATGCTCGTAAACGCGAGAGAGAACTTGGATGGTAGGCTGAGTTTTGACTGTATAGACACAGAAGAACTCTGTACTATTACAATGGATGATTTAGAAGCAGGCCTTCGTTCGCTAACACAGTGATACTTGGTTGGTACATTGAAAAATATTCAATTTCAGATGCTGTTACAGCCATTCTTTGTGCGGTGATGGGGGCTGAGATTTGGAGCTGTAGGCCTCTCTGATATTATCCTGCTGGGAGATCTAAGTGTTTTTGTATTCTCTTTGTAATTCAACGATTTTTGATGCTTTTGTATGTTCTGATTCATTTTCTTGCCCATTCTTTTGATTTTTTTCCCCTTTTATGTTGAAATGTAGATTTTAAAAACCAATTGTTTGAATACAAGAGATTATTATTGCCATTGTTGTTGCAGCTTGTGCAGGGTGGTGCTACTAAATTGATGTATATTGAGTTCAATAAGGTGGAGATCGGGTCGAGAGCGGAGATTTTGATGAAGTCAAACTAATAGGAGATGGTTTGTATTTCCTTGATGAAGTAAAATTAATTTCGTATCTTATTTATAACAAACTTCATGGTTAAGCTATATACGTCAATGTTTCAAGTATTTGCAACAGGGTGTTCAAAAAATGTTCTGAAAAATTCGATCAATCCGGTTTACAGCTGAGTTTATAAATTTGTTTGAGTTAGGCTGGATTTAAATAAATTAAAATTTTATAGGATGGTTTAAAGTTCAGTTATAAATTTGTTTAATTTATAGGATGGTTTAAAGATGAGTTATAAATTTGTTCGAGTTAAAAGTTGGATTTAAATACATGAAAATTTTATAGGTTGGTTTAAAGATTCACAAATAAATATTTTTAGCTTAATTTATAAAATATATATATATATATACTCGATTAGTTACCATAAAATAATATATAGATATTTTTATTTTATTAAATTTTTGTACATATTATTTATTCTTCAACAACTTTAAAAATAACTTTAAGTTTTTTAGTGAAAATTTCGACTATATAAATAAACATTCACTTACCGGTCTTAATCGATGTTAAAAAAAATGTGAATACATATTTAATATGTTAGTATTTACTTTTGTTTTGAGTATTTCGAATAAGTGAAGATATTAAGAACATGTGTTGGAGTGTGTTAGAGCGATTTTAGCATGACTAGAATAAGTTTCACTTATGTCAAAATTACTCTAGTTTTAAAATGACATGTTTGTGAGTGATGGTAAAATTAGTGATTTTTTTAACATAAAATCAATTAGAGTGCTTTTAAGTTTTTCTAAAATCAATTTTTTAATTTGTGAAACATGATCGATGGGAAGAGAAGTTATTTTGATAGGAAATTAGTTTTTAAAATGGTTATTATTTTAAATTTTAAATTTATATTTATATTTCACCTTAAAATTTGAGAATTTGTTTTATTTCTAAACTACTTGTCCCTCTCAAAACTTTGTTTATTCTATCTCTTTTTTTTTTTCTCTATAGTTTGTAACATCTCTTTAATTTGTAGTTTCCATCTCATTCCTAAATATATTTCTCTATCTAAAATTTTTATCAAATTCTCTTTAAACTTCAAAAATTAATAAGTTAAAATTACTTTTAATTATACAAAAATTATTTGGAGATGATGTAACAAAACGTTAAAATAACCGTATGAAAATCACTTTCATGGAATTAATTATCATTAAATCTATTTTACTAAAATTACTCGTTATAAAATGATTTAAGAACTACTGGTTAATGTGGCATGATGTGAGGATTTAGTTGTGGGTGGATGTAAATGACCATTTTTATGAGGTGTTTGTGTTTATTGTCATTGTTATTCTACTGCTTTATCTGTATTGTCAGGAAAGACTTGAAATGCTTTGTGGCAATTTGAACTACAAGATGTCTGATAGGGTCTTAGCTCGGTGCCTTGGGGTTGAAGAAGCAGCAAAGAGACTTTGAAGAAGTTCATGATGATTCGTGTATTAGTTTAAGCAGCCAATGGGAAGTCAGCCTACAAACACGCACGATAAATTACAGCGAGGAATGCCTTATATGGCCTTATCTCTGCATTGGTGTCCTTTTTGGTGTCATTCTTGCCCCCCTTTGGTTGGTCGGTTGCCCTCCCCACACAGATGACACAACTACTAGCATCGACCCTCCTTAGCCATCCATTCAAGAACGAGAAAGCCTTACCGCTGAGTTCTTCCTCACACTACTATTCTTTATTCTTTGAGGGCCATTTTCTACTTTGTGGGTAAAAAAGCGTGTAGAGTGTGCTTCGTCTGCCATGAGCGGGAGCAACGTCAACAAGGTTTTCTACGCTGAGAACAACCACCCCTTCAAGCCGGCAGCATCGACGGCACCAATATTCTTCCCCACGACAACGCCGTCTACCGGGCGTTACTTTGTTCCTCCGCTGGCCTCTGTAATTCTCTCGTTTCTGATTTTTCCGCATGTCGTCCATACTCTTCGATGTTCTTCAGCTTGTTATAATCCATTACTGTGGTTTGTTTCTGACAGATGATCCACTTGGCGATCCCAATGTCTCCGGGGACCCCTATTGCACCCTCTTCGTTGGTCGCCTTAAGCATCGGACTGACGAAAACACTCTTCGCAGAGTATTGTCTATTAATCCGTCATCTTCGTTTCTTATTGTTGATTGATTTTTGGTTGGAGTTGAGATGAATTAATTATCCTCTGGAACGTGGATGTTGGTTAATGTGGCTTGATGTGAGAATTTAGTTTGTGGGTGGATGTAAATGTCCATTTTTATGAGGTGTTTGTGTTTATTGTTATTGTTATTCTACTGCTTTACTTGTCCATTTTTCTGGGGTCGAGGCTGCCACCTTTGTATCGTCAGAAAAGACTTCTTTGATTGCCAATTGATTTTGATATCAATAATCTAAAATCCTCAAATGAAGATTATTCCTCTAATGGTAAACTGATAATTGGTTTTGAGATGTAACAATATTGATACTTTCGCCCTTCAAATTTTAAAGTTGAAATTTTAAACTGTATAATAAATTTCTTTTAAAGAGATATAATTAAATTAAAAATAAAAATAAAAAGTTTGATAAATATATTGTTTATGTATAAACTCATTTTTTTTTCTTTTGTTAAAATTAAAACAGGTAAAATAGTAATTCTTTAAAATTTATAACAAACTGTCAATGAATTAGTTAATATTATTTAGAATTAAACTGAACATTTTAAAATCTTATAAGTATATTAATAAATGGTTGCACTAAAAAAAATATTAATAAATGCTTTTTAACATTCTGTATCCGACAAAAAAAAAAAATACAACGTTGAATAATTTATTTTCAAATTTCTACTTTCATAGCACCAACCAAACAGACCGTTAGATGATTTTCAAAGTTCGGAAAAATGAGAGACTAAACTGGTAATTTAACTAACGAAGAAAATATCCCATTTGTATAAGCTGGAGGAGTAATGGGCTCGGTGGTAGGTCTAAACTAAAACCCACAATTTTGAAGGAGGTTACCGCAGCCCTAACTCCCGTCGGAGACCAGAAACTCCGTCAATCGAAACCATGTTCGTTCGCCATTGCCACCTCCAACTTCCGGCTTAAACTTCGTTCCTTCCATTTCTTCCTCCTCTGCTGCTCCATCGATCAGACTACAATCTCCACCACAATTTATGCTGCTTCGCTGAGTTCTTCCTCACATTACTATTCTTTATTCACGGCCTTTTTCTACTTTGTGGGTGAAAAAGCGTGTAGAGTGTGCTTCGTCTGCTATGAACGGGAGCAACGTCAACAAGGTTTTCTTCGCCGAGAACTACCACCCCATTCAAGCCGGCAGCATCGACGGCACCGATATTCTTCCCCACGACAACGCCGTCTACCGGGCGTTACTTTGTTCCTCCGCTGGCCTCTGTAATTCTCTCGTTTCTGATTTTTCCACACGTCGTTCATACTCTTCGGTGTTCTTCAGCTTGTTATAATCCATTGCTGTGGTTTGTTTCTGACAGATGATCCACTCGGCGATCCCAAGGTCTCCGGGGACCCCTATTGCACCCTCTTCGTTGGTCGCCTTTCGCATTTGACTGACGAAGACACTCTTCGCAGAGTATTGTCTATTAATCCCTCATCTTCGTTTTTTATTGTTGATTGATTTCTGGTTGGAGTTGGGATGAATTAATTATCCTCCGGAACGTGGGTGTTGGATAATGTGGCTTCATGTGAGGATTTAGTTGTGGGTGGATGTAAATGACCATTTTTATGGGTGTTTGTGTTTATTGTTATTGTTATTCTACTGCTTTACTTGTCCATTTTTCTGGGGTCGAGGCTGCCTCCTTTGTATCGTCAGGAAAGACTTGAAATGCTTTGTGGCAATTTGAACTACAAGATGTCTGATAGGGTCTTAGCTCGGTGCCTTGGCGTTGAAGAAGCAGCAAAGAGGCTTTGAAGAAGTTCATGATGATTCGTGTATTAGTTTAAGCAGCCAATGGGAAGTCAGCCTACAAACACGCACGATAAATTACAGCGAAGAATGCCTTATATGGCCTTATCTCCGCATTGGTGTCCTTTTTGGTGTCATTCTTGCCCCCCTTTGGTTGGTCGATTGCCCTCCCCATAGAGATGACACAACTACTAGCATCGACCCTCCTTAGCCATCCATTCAAGAACGAGAAAGCCTGGCTATGGAACCACTTTATTAGGGCTTTGCTTTGGTCTATTTGGAACAAAAGGAATCGTCGTATCTTTCAAGGAAAGGGATGCTCTCCACAAGCCACATTTGACTTTATTGCTTGTTTTTTTTTTGTTATTTCTTGGTATAAATGCCCCCCTTTTCATTCATATAGTTTTGCCTCCTTGATAGGCAACTGGAGAGCTTTTTGTGAATGATGGGGCTCTCTCCCTTTTTTATTCTCCCCCCTCTTTTCATTATAAATCGTTTCGTTTCAAAAAATAAAGTTTAAGCAGCCAATGGGTACTCAAAGAGAAGAGTATTATCAGTTAGATTGGTCAATTGAGAGGCACGATTTGTTGGAGGATTGAACTAAAATTCAAACTAGATGAAAGTGCTGTTGTTCCCTGCTCTTTGGATGCAGTCAAAGTAAAGGGAAAAGGGAACTCGACTGGATTTTCATTTGATTGGTTCAATGTACAAGTACAATCTATTGCTATTAATATTCTGCCAGAAGTGTTGTGCCTAGGTGGGAATATGGACTGTTCTGTTTGATTACATGAAACAATTAGGATTATGCCCAACTCCTATTAGAGAACCAATGGGAATTGAGAAGGTAGAGGGGAAAATAATTCAGGAAGCATAAAGGAACGTGGGAGTTGAAGAATTTTATATCCTTGATAAATTATGATAGAGAAGAGGCTCTAACAGGCCTGATAAGGCGATTTTGCCCTTATTGAAGTTGTTGATGGGAACATTTGAGGTTTGGATGACTGGACAGTTGGTGACCCAAACCCCTGTGAACGGCCATTGCAACTATAAATGTCCTTCCCCGAGGTTAAATGTCCTTCCCCGAGGTTAAGCATCCTTTGTCAACTTTATGTAGGGTAGAGTCTGGCCCCAAAAAAGCAATCTACGTCTAAGTTAAAGTTGGAGACGAAAGTCTTTTTTTTTGAAGAGAGGAGAAAGCATCTATTAAGACGGTCCAAATTGTGTACACCTTCCTTTTGAAAAATTTGACTAGAAAGGAATTGAGCGTGCCAGAAGCTTTCTCAATCATTGGATTATTTTTTTTATTTTTATTTTTATAATTGGGGGTTGGAGCTTTGCTCCCATATATCTAAGGACACCCACGCCCGCCCCAAGGCCCAGACTTGGAAGACATTAAAGGTTTTTTTGTATTAAACTCACTAGATAGTTCGAACTTGAGACCTCTAAGCCAGTACGACCAAGAGACCTCAAGCCCTTGCCAACTGGGTTGCCCCTTGCGGGCCATTGGATTCTCAAAAGCTTGCTTGCCTTTTTTTATTGTTGCTTTGTTGCATTTAATAAATTACTGCTTTTCCTTTTATTTCTCCTTCAACATATTGTCAGCTGAAAAATAGATTTCATCCTTCAGGCTATGAGCAAGTATGGCCGGGTTAAGAATCTACGCTTAGTCAGACACATTGGTGATTTCCTTATCTAATTCTTAATTTGATCTTTTATTTGGCTTAAAGAGTTTCCTGATTAAGTGCCCAAAAATTCAAGTCACATTTCCAATATTTGGTATATTCATACTATAAACATGTTTTAAGTTCAGATTACTCTGTTCATGGAAGTGATGGAAGACAGAATTATGTTTCTTACCTAAGCTGCATGATATTTTGCAGTAACTGGTTCTTCACGTGGTTATGCTTTTGTTGAATATGAAACTGAAAAAGAGATGCGACGTGCATATAAGGTGGTACAACTTCTTGAGTCCTTTAATTTCACTTGAGCTTATTACTTTTGTCCTTGTTTTTGGTTTACATTCCTTTTTGCTCTATGGTGTCCAATGGCAATCACATTTGTGGGATGTGATGTTGTATTGTTTTCTTTCATGGTCACTAGGTTTTCTTAATTAATTACTTATTCTTTGGAAGGTCTTGGCACAGGTTGATTCTTGTTGCTTGTCAAACCTTTGCTGTATCTCCCATCATTCACAGAACTTCGCGGTTCTTTCTTATTCATTTAAAAAAAAAAAGAAAAACCTCCCAAGCATCTCAACTTTCAGTAATAAATACAATTATATGTTTGTTTCAATGGCCAATGATATCGATATTTGACAGTGAGTTCCTCTCTTCATCAGGATGCTCATCATTCGATGATAGATGATTGTGAAATTATAGTTGATTACAACCGACAGCAGCTAATGCCAGGATGGGTTCCACGGAGATTAGGTAAATGGAAGTTCTATGGTCTCACAATTATTACATCCTACATAAATCTATTTGGTTTTATCTCCTATTTTTAATAGGAGGGGGTCTTGGTGGTAAGAAGGAATCTGGACAACTTCGATTTGGAGGAAGAGAAAGACCATTCCGAGCTCCCTTGTATGTTCACTTCCCTAATTATATATGCTGATGGGTTGTTTTCTGGATGGGGTTATTGCTTTCCTTTGCATGGATTTTAGTTCTGCTTCCTCAGTTCTCTTGTATTATGCCAATGGATGTTTTATTGGCATAGAAACATGGTATGGTCTGACTGAACTTCTGTTATGCCTGTCCTCCCCAAGATTTGCATCCAACCTAGAGTAGTAGCAAGGTGAGAAAGTAAAAGTAATCCCTGTTCATACATGAACTTCTTTTGTCAGGATTAGCCATTTATTTTCAAACTGGTGAATTGCTTGTTGGGCTGTAATAGCTCTCAATAATTTTCCAGCCCAATTGATAATTTGTGTATTCTTGTTATTTCCAATCTCAACTTTGTAACTGCCTTTCCTTTTATGGTAGCAAGTACTTCAAGGATACAGCGGCTTATTTTACTTTGTGTTTTTATTTACTTGTTCGGGGCAGGGAGTGTTTGATCTGGATATTTTTAGTCTTGTCTTTGTATACATTTATGTAATCAACTGGTTAAATATATCTAATCTATATCCTTTTGAGCAGACGTCCGATCCCTTTCGATGATTTAAAAAGGCTTGGCATTACTCCTCCACCTGAAGGACGATACATGTCCCGGTTTCAGGTACTTATTTGAATGTATTATCGATCTAACTGTTAAAACAAAGGCACATATCAGCCTCGAAATCTTTGTCTCAATTTAATAATAGCAAGGTCTTCGATGTACATACATCAAAAGAAAAGAAAAGAAAAAACCTTAACATGTGTTCACAGTGTCACTCTTCTCTTCTACTTGATATTCTTGTAATGCAATGGATGATCATTCAACATGGGACTGTGGTCTGCATATTGTGACATCAGAAGTAATATTTTTGAGTTAGTTCCTTATTCGTTTTAGGTACCTTCTCCTCCTAGAAGAGAAACAGATTCTGTATGTAGGGAAGAAGGGTCCAGTGAGAGAGATTCTTTGGAGAAGGATGGACACACTCGAAGAAGTAGTTCTATAGATGAAGATGATGATTGGTCTCGTACGAGGGGTTCTAGTGACTATAGAGGGCACTCTCATAAAGGGAACTACGAGAAAACGAAACATGAATCGAGAAGGTTCTCAAATGAAAAAGATGAACATTCCCCTCGTATGAGCTATTATGAGAATGAAGACCGTTATCAGAGGAGATCTTCTGAGAAGGAAGATCGTTATTGGAGGAGCTCTTTGGACAAGGATCGATCTCGCAGAAGGGATTCTAATGATAGAGACGATCACACTCGAAAGCGCTACAAATCGCATAGATAGACACTCCATTGACTACCAGCCTTCTAACTACTGGATCTCTCTGTGATTTGGTTTTGGACACTGTATGTTATGTTTCGTTTTGTATCAACACCAGTTAGGATCATTTTTTGTTGTATTAGCATAATACGAATTTAAAACTATATTAGTCATATCAATAAATTCATGAATTTGTAATTTTGTGTCTTAGGGATCTTTCTGTCCAGGATCCCAAGTTTAAAAGATAAAGTTATAATAGACTCCTTTAATTGTCCATTGATTTTGATATCAATAATCCAAAATTCCTCAAATGAAGATTATTCCTCTAATTTGTAAACTGATAATTGGTTGGTTTTGAGATGTAACAATATTGATACTTTCGTCCAACAGGTACTTTTAAAATTTTGAAAATTTAAAAATATATTGGATACATTATAAAATAAGATTTGTTTGTTATGCCATTCATCACTACGGATTGTATGAATATTTATTTGATATTTTCAGATTTTAAAGTTAAAACTATAAAGTGTATAATAACAATTTTTAAAGAGATATAATTAAATTGAAAAAATAAAAATTTTGATAAATATATTATTTATGTTATAAACTCATTTCTTTTTTTTTTCTTTTATTAAAATTAAAACAGGTAAAATAATAATTCTTTAAAATTTATAACAAAACTGTAAATGAATTAGTTAATATTATTTAGAATTAAACTAAACATTTTAAAATCTTATAAGTGTACTAATAAATGGTTGCACTAAAAAAAATATTAATAAATACTTTTTAAAATTCTGTATCCGACAAAAAAAAAAAATACAACTCTATTTCTGATTGAATAATTTATTTTCAAATTTCTACTTTCACAGCGAGAACCAAACACATGTTAGATGATTTTCAAAATTCGGGAAAATGAGAAACTAAACTGGTAATTTAACTAACAAAGAAAATATCCCATTTGTATAAGCTGGAGGAGTAATGGGCTCGGTGGTAGGCCTAAACTAAAACCCACAATTTTGGAAGAGGTTACCGCAGCCCGAACTCCCGTCGCAGACCAGAAACTCCGTCGATCGAAACCATGTTCGTTCGCCATTGCCACCTCCAACTTCCGGCTTAAACTTCGTTCCTTCCATTTCTTCCTCCTCTCCTGCTCCATCGATCAGACTACAATCTCCACAACAATTTATGCTGCTTCTCGTTTCGTACTCCTCGGATCGTTAGCCCATTCTGATGGACATTCTCTTCGCCCAGATCCAAGCCGACCTTCGCTCTAACGATGCGCTTCGCCAATCCGGCGCTCTTCTCCTGGCCCTGCAGCAATCCGCTGCTGGCCGGGACATTTCCGTCATCGCCAAGTCCGCCGTTGAGGAGATCGTAGCCTCCCCTGCCTCTGCCGTTTGCAAGAAGCTCGCCTTTGATCTTATCCGCTCTACGCGTCTCACTGCGGATCTCTGGGATATCGTGTGCACTGGCATTCGCACTGATTTCGACTTTCCTGACCCTGATGTCACTGCTGCTGGAGTCTCGATTCTCGCTGCCATCCCCTCCTACCGCCTCGCCAAGCTGATTACCGAGTCCCACAAAGAAATTTCTGATTGTTTTGATTCCCCAAGTGATAATTTGAGGTTCTCGATCACCGAAACTTTGGGGTGTATTCTTGCTAGGGACGACCTTGTCACGCTCTGTGAGAATAATGTTAGTTTGCTCGATAAGGTATCGAATTGGTGGTTGCGTATTGGGAAAAACATGTTGGATAAGTCGGATGCTGTTTCGAAGGTTGCCTTCGAGTCGGTCGGAAGGTTGTTTCAGGAGTTTGATTCGAAGAGAATGAGTAGGTTGGCAGGGGATAAGTTGGTGGATAGTGAAAATTCTCTTGCTATTAGGTCCAACTGGATTTCGTCAATGGCAGACTTTGTTTGGAAGAAGCGGAATGCGTTAATGGCGAGGTCCCTGATTTTGCCTGTGGAGAGTTTTAGGGCCGCTGTGTTTCCAATTGTGTATGCAGTGAAGGCTGTGGCTTCTGGGGCAGCTGAAGTCATCAGTAAGCTTTCGAAGTCTTCTACTGGCAACGGTACCATCATGGACTCAAGTGCGGAGAGGTTAGTGGGAGTTTCAGATGTAGTTACTCATTTAGCGCCATTTTTAGCTTCGTCATTGGAACCGGCACTAATTTTTGAGGTGGGGATCAATATGTTGTACTTGGCTGATGTGCCTGGAGGGAAACCTGAGTGGGCTTCGCAGTCGATCATAGCAATTCTCACACTCTGGGATAGGCAAGAATTCTCTTCGGCTAGAGAAAGTATTGTTAGAGCTGTTGTTACCAATCTTCACCTCCTTGATTTGCATATGCAGGTATGTGTATTCATATTCATCTATTCTGTTTTCGTTAGGCAATATGTAGTTCTGCATTTTTGTGGTGTTACTAAGACGATAATTTTTTCACTGGATCTCAAATCTCTGCCTGGACCTTCAAAGTAGGACTGTACCCTGACAATATGATGTCTTGTCGTTAGTAGGTTTCATTGTTTAAGAGACTACTTCTTATGGTGAGGAACTTGAGAGCAGAGTCTGATCGTATGCATGCCTTAGCGTGTATTTGCCGTACGGCTCTCTGTGTTGACCTTTTCGCCAAGGAAAGTGTTCGTAGAGGTCAAAAACCTCTTGCAGGAACTGATATTGCTTCTTTATTTGAAGATGCTAGAATTAGAGACGATCTTAATACTGTTACGAGTAAAGGCTTGTTCAGGGAGGAATTGGTTGCCTCATTGGTGGAAAGTTGCTTTCAGTTATCTTTACCTCTACCTGAACAGAAGAACACTGGGATGGAGAGCAGGGTTATTGGAGCCTTGGCCTATGGAACTGGTTATGGAGCGTTAAACTGGACAGAGCCGGCATTGGAGGTGGTTGAAGTCTGTAGGCCCTGTGTCAAGTGGGATTGTGATGGCCGCACGTATGCAATTGATTGTTACTTGAAGTTGCTTGTTAGGCTATGCCATATATATGATACCAGGGGAGGAGTAAAAAGAGTCAAGGATGGGGCTTCTCAAGATCAGATTTTGAATGAGACGAGGTTGCAGAACTTGCAACGTGAACTTGTGAAAGATTTACGAGAGGTAATTCAATTAGTTTATCTTCCTCCTTTTTACTTTGTAAAATATATTGATATGCTTTTAATGGTTCATTATCATCTTGGCAGGTAAATACCCCAAGAATATGTGCCCGTCTTCTTTGGGCAATTTCGGAGCATATAGATCTTGAAGGTTTGGATCCCCTTCTTGCTGATGACCCTGATGACGCATTAAATATCATTGTAACAAATATCCACAAGGTCTTATTCAACGTAGATTCATCAGCAGAGACAACAAATAGACTTCAAGATGTTCAGGCAGTGCTTCTGTGTGCTCAGAGATTAGGATCACGTCATCCTAGGGCTGGCCAGTTATTGACCAAAGAACTTGAAGAATTTCGAAGTAATGGCTTGGCAGATTCAGTCAACAAACACCAATGTCGTTTAATACTACAGAGAATCAAGTATGCTTCAAGCAATTCAGAAAGCAGGTCAGTATATATTGGATTGTTAAATATCTAATTTTCTCGGTGGTTTTCAATTCTCACTATATGATGCCCCTAAGTGTACAGGGAAATTATTTTTACCCCTTAATGCTAGTTCCTGCCGAACCACCCAAAAAGGCACTAGGACCTTTTTTTCATTTCGGTCAAACAGGCACAACTTGGTTCCTTCCGTCATTCTAGTGGGATTAATGGTAACTGCAATGTTCTAGAAATGACATTTTTAATTAGGTTTGGTTATCTTTTATTTTTGAAGACTGTTGAGCAAGGATGGTAGGCAGCAGAGGCTAGAATCTTGATGGTTAGGTTTAGCTTTATCCTTCATCTTTGAAAAGAAAGACTCAAAGTTCGTTTTTGGGAGTTCACGCTGTTGAAGACTCTTGGCTTTGGAATATCTCTCTTTTCTCTCTATTCTTGAAAGATTGAAGTGGGATTTTCCCTTCTTTTTGACTGGCTGATTTAATAGTTCTTGTTTGGGGACTGGCTGTCTCTAAAGGGAAGGTGGACTTTTTTGAAGTTTAGAGGAAGCCTGTAGTCTATGGGTAAAATTTTTACTTTCTTTTTTCAGAATTTGCAATCAAATATTCCCTATTGAGTTTTGTCAGATTATCAGCTCTTTAGCAAGGTTGTTGAAAGTGGCTTAGGATGTTCTTCTTTCTGCAAATTATCCTTTTTTTTTTAAGGAGTTGTTTACATTTCTAATGAGAGATCTTCTGTTTTGTAATTTTTTCTCTCTATCATTTAGAGGCTTCTTGGCAACCCCCTTCCTAACTTTTCTTGGGTTTTTCTAAAGGTTTTTGGGAGTGATTTAGGACGTTCTTTCATTGGTCTTTAATACAGGCTTTTCAGGGAGCTGTTTATACTCCTATGGAGTTTACTGTAATCTTTGTAACTTTGTAAGCTGTTTGTAGCTTTCCGTTAATTCAATGACAGACTTCCTTTTTCAGAAAAGGAAATAACTTTAAAATAACACGGTCTTGTTCGTATGTCAAAGTCTGGTCTCTTCACTTTAAAAGCTTGGGATAGAGTGACAGCCTCATGCCTCTTTTTTGGCCATGGATTCCAAAATTTTGGAAATATTTCTTTTTAAAATTTTTGTTATTTGGAGGTTTTTTTTTTGGTATATATGGTCTCCCTTCTCTCTCATATGGGTGGTACCCCCCTAGCCTCCCTTTATGCACATGTTAATTATTAAAAAGAAATCAGTTCTTCCTTTAGAAAAAGGGAAAAAAGAAAACCCTTCCTGATTTTTAAGCATTTGAATATTTCAGCATATGTGTAATTTGAAGACCACGGTATTGTGTTCGTGGTTATTCAGCCTTCATTAGACATACATAATATTAGGTTATTGATTTCCTCTGAAACGTTGCTCAATGGTTAGAAGCTCCTTTTGTTTTTCTATTTAAATAGATTTTTTTTTTCTCTTTTTATTTGAAAAATAATTGAGTGAAAAGTTTATTTAATGAAGACGATTATGCATATTTACAGGTGGGCTGGGGTTAGTGAAGCCAGAGGAGATTACCCATTTAGCCATCACAAACTAACCGTGCAGTTCTATGAAGCAGCTGCAGCTCAGGACAGAAAATTGGAAGGTTTGGTTCACAAGGCAATTCTAGAGCTTTGGAGGCCAGACCCTAGTGAATTAACTCTTTTGCTGACAAAAGGAATTGACTCTACTCTTCTCAAGGTTCCTCCAACTGCAATG